ACAGCCGCGTGTCACCCGGAGCACAGCCGCGTGTCACCCGGAGCACACTGCATGTCACCCGGAGCACAGCCGCGTGTCACCCAGAACACAGCCGCGTGTCACCCGGAGCACAGCCACGTGTCACCCAGAGCACACCGCGTGTCACCCGGAGCACAGCCACGTGTCACCCAGAGCACACCGCGTGTCACCCGGAGCACACTGCGTGTCACCCGGAGCACAGCCCCGTGTCACCCGGAGCACACCACGAGGTGCTCAGGAAAAGGCCACAAGCCAAAGGCACAACCCAGGAGTGGCTCCGGGGCCGGGCAGCTCCAGGCTGGAGTCCCCAAACACTGAAACATCCCCGAAATGTGACTGCAGGGACAGGGACAGGGACAGGGACAGGGACAGGGACAGGGACAGGGACAGGGACAGGGACAGGGACAGGGACAGGGGGAGAGGCTGGGAGAGCTGGGGGTGCTCACCTGGAGAAGGATCCAGGGAGAGCTCAGAGCCCCTTGCAGGGCCCAAAGGGGCTCCAGGAGAGCTGGAGAGGGACTGGGGACAAGGACTGGAGGGCCAGGAGCCAGGGAATGGCTGCCAGTGCCAGAGGGCAGGGCTGGATGGGATTTGGGGCAGGAATTGTTCCCTGGCAGGGTGGGCAGGCCCTGGCACAGGGTGCCCAGAGCAGCTGGGGCTGCCCCTGGATCCCTGGCAGTGCCCAAGGCCAGGCTGGACACTGGGACAGTGGGAGGTGTCCCTGCCCATGGCAGGGGTGACACTGGAGGGGCTCTGGGGTCCCTCCCAGCCCAGTCTGCGGTTCTGGGATTCTCTTGCCCTTTCAGCCCGGCCAGGGCCCGTGGGCAGCACACAGTGGGTACAAAGCAGAGCTCGTTATTTTGGGAGCACAGAGCCCACAGCTCCAGCCCTGTCCTGTCCCCGCTCCTTGCCCTGCCCAGACCCGGCCCCAGCCCCCGGTGACCCCGAGGGGGCTCGGCCAGGGGAGCCCTGCGGGACCCCGGCCGGGTTTGGGGTTTGCTGGGAAAAGCAGCGGGATCTGGGGCTGGAGCAGCACCTGCAGTGTCCCTGAGCTGGGGACAGCACTGTCACCTCTGTGATGGCACAGCCAGGCTGGGGACAGCACTGTCACCTCTGTGATGGCACAGCCAGGCTGGGGACAGCACTGCCACCTCTGTGATGGCACAGCAGGAACAGGCTGGGTTACACTGGAGGAAAATGTAAAAGGAGATGTAAAAATTCCCTCTTTCAGCAATAAGTCAGATGATATGAATATATCTAAAATATACAAATATCAAAATTAAAATAAATATATTAAAATACCTAAAATACCTAGATATGTAACTCATTAAATATCTACACATGTAATATATAAATATATAAATATGCATGCCATACATATATATAAAAATTTAGGAATAAAGATATGTAATGTATAAAGTATACAAATATATTTTATATAAATATATAAAATAAAAATATGATACATAAATATATATGTAATGTATAAATATATACATGTGTCATATGTACGTATGTACATATTACATATATATAAAATAATGCAATGTGTACATATGTGCATAAATATAAATATATAATATAAATATAGATTAATTTAATTATATTATATATAATAATATATTATATTATTATATATTATATAAATGCTGGGATAATAAATATGAAATATAATATATAATATATGATATATGATATATTATATAGTATATATTATATATTATATAGTATATATTATATATAATTATAATATGGAATATGAAATATTAAATATATAATATAAAATGTAAAATAGATCGTATAGAAATATATCGTATATAAATATATAAATAAATATAAATATATGTAAAAATAAATAGATATAGAAATACATAAATAGATACATAAATAAATATATAAAGAAATATATCAATAGATATATAAATAAATGTATCAATATCTCTGTAATATATAAATTTATAAATGTTTGCATAAAACATACAAAGCAGGTGGTTTTATAAAAACGTGTCAAAAGAGATAAAAATAGATCAAAAGTGATAAAAAGAGATGCAAAGAGATAAAAGTAGATAAAAGTTTAAAAGAAGTTAATGAAGTTCTCTGCCCGTTGTGGCAGCAGCTCCCACGGCAGCCCCAGCTCGCAGATGTGAGCGGTGCTGGGAGAATCGTTCTGGGGATCCTCTGCTGCCCGATCCCCTCTGGGGATCCTCTGCTGCCCGATCCGATCTGGGGATCCTCTGCTGCCCGATCCGATCTGGGGATCCTCTGCTGCCCCATCCGATCTGGGGATCCTCTGCTGCCCGATCCCCTCTGGGGAGCTGTTCCTGCCCGATCCCCTCCGGGGAGCTGTTCCTGCCCGATCCCCTCCGGGGAGCCGCTGCTGCCCGTTCCCCGCTGTGTCCGTGTGTTTGTTCCCCAGAGCCGGCTCTGGCCGTGGCCCCGAGCCCGGAGCCGCTGGCCAAGGGCTCTCTGTGTCTCCGCAGGCTCAGGCCGGGGGCTCTGCCCAGCCCTCGCCCACCCACGGCCGCCCCCCGGCCGTGCCCGTGCGCTCGGCCTCGGCCGGTTCCACGCCCACCCACGGAGCCCAGGACTCGCTGGCCGCGCTCGGGGGAGACGTGCACGACGCCTTCACGCAAGGTGAGATCCACGGGGCGTTGCCACCACGCGAGGGGAGAGGATACGGGATGGGAATTGTTCCCTGGCACGGTGGGCAGGCCCTGGCACAGGGTGCCCAGAGCAGCTGGGGCTGCCCCTGGATCCCTGGCAGTGCCCAAGGCCAGGCTGGACACTGGGACAGTGGGAGGTGTCCCTGAAGGTTTTGATCTTTCGGGTCCTTCCCACCCAAACCATTCCCTGGTCCCCTGTACAGCACACACGTAACTCACCGCGTCAAGGCAATCATTACAAACCCCTTTCCTGTGCCCTGGACCAAATCTGGGGGCACATTTGGAACCTTTTGAACTTAATGAAGTTAATTTCTGTGAAGATGATCTTTCCTGAAGGGAAGTTATGCCCACAAATAATTTAAGAATAGCACCTTACAAACCAGTTGTGTTTCCAAACCTGGTGGTTGAACTGCAAGAGAAAACAGAAGGGATTTCAACGCCCTTTTCTCCTTGTTGGCCCATCTTGGTCCGGAGCTTTTCATCTTTAGTGCTCCAGGACAATCCTGGAATGTGGAGCTGGGAGCAGAACAGCAGCAGGGCCTGCTCTTGCCAGTCTCTGGCACACTTGGAGGTTCTTTCTGGACATCACCTCTTGGAAGCTGCACATCCACCTGCCCTTGATGCTCCTCTCTCTGCCGGTGAGAGAAAGGACAGCAAACCCTCCTGAGCCCCAGGTGAGGACTCAGCCGTGTGGGCAGAGCCAAGGGATGGACACCAATCCACAAAGGTCAGACCTGACGGTCTTGGAGGTCTTTTCCAACTGGAATATTTCTGTGATTGTCTCTGTGGACCTGGTGGTGCTCCCTGGGAAATCACAGCGGGAATCGCGTGCCGTGGCCGGTGTGGGCAGAGAGCAGCAGCCCTCACCTGATGCAGAGGTTCCTTTAGCAGCTGGCAGGTCACCTCAGGTGGAGTCTGCAGGTGCTTTCTCCTTCCAGGGAGGGCAGACTGTGAATAGGAGCATCAGATCCCTTTGTCAGGTGGACAGGTTCCCTGTCCAAACAAAGCAAGTGTGGAAGGGAACCTCCCAGAGCCGACACTGCTCCTCCCACCCAAACAGGTTTTGGGTAACAGTTTGTGTTTATCAGTGCTCAGTGGATCTGTCCTTCTGGAATGATCTTTGCCCTTGCCTAAGGGAGCTGCTGCCAGAAGGAGGAGAGGGAAGAGGCTGTGAAACGGCAGCAGAGGAGCAGCAGTGCCAGTGAACACTCAGCTGGTGCCAGTCAGCGCCTTTGGCTGGGATTTGGTGCTGCAGCAGGACCAGGAGCGCTCGGCCTCAGCATCCTCAGCACAGGGAACGCCGTGGGACGGCCCCTCTGAGCTCTCCTCTGGGCTGGGGGATGTCTTCTCCTCATGCCGTGGGTGGGAGCGAGCCCCTCGTGCCTGCACACTGCCAGAGCCCGGAGCAGAGCCGCATTTCCAGGGAGGCGCGGTGCCAAGAACCAGAGGCGAGCGCTCCATCTGTTGCTGTGGGTGGTCCAGTCGCCTCCTCTTCATCTCCACAGCGAGTTTGGTGCTGCAGCCACAGCTCTCCGCTGATTTCCCTGGCAGCTGCCTCTCCTTCCCCCTGGGAAGGATCCCTTTCTCTGCCTAGGCGTGGGACAGCAGCACCCTGAGCCCGGCCAGGCCCTGGGGGATCCGCGGGATCCGTTCCATCGCTGCCCCTTCCCTCTGCTCCTGAGGAGAAGAGAGGGAACGGTGTTCCTGCTGCTTGGAGCACGTGATGATGGCAGGACACGAAGGTTCTGGATCATTCTTCATTTTCCAGCCTTCCCTGGGCATCCCTGTTTGCTGTGAGCCCATCTGGCTTTTCCTGGGGAGACCCACGGCAAGGCGAACCCACAGCACCCACAGCTCTTCCTCAATCAATGCAGGGCTCCTTGCTGCCTCTCCCCAAGGACTGCCCCTTCCTCAGGACCTGCTGAGATCGCCCAAAGGGAAAACTTGTGTTTTTCCTGGGTGTTTAACACCTGACAGCGCCTCAAATTCGTGGTGCAGGGAGCCAGGTGTTGCAGGAAAGCGTTCAGGGCTGGGTGGAGGGCGTGTCCTGGCAGCGCCGTTCAGGTGGGGACCAAAACAAAACCACAGACACCCCTCAGGACACGGATTCCTACCACAAACATCTCAGTTACCTTCTGCTGAGAAATGTGATGGCCCCAGCTCTGCTGTGGGGGGCTCAGGGCGGGCAGGGACACCCAGGTCTCGTTTTGCCTCCCAGTGCATGAATCCTCCCCGAGCTGCCCCATCAGTGGGGGAAACTCTGGAGCAGGGAAGCTTTGAAGAACTGAACCCCAGAGATCTTGGCCTTACAGCCTGGAGATTAGAAAAGTTTCCTCCTTAGATGATCTCTTCATCTTCCACTCAGTGAAGGATTTCCAAGACTGGCACCTGGATGATGAGCAAGTATGACAGGTTTAAAATAAAACACCCTGATGGTTTCTGGGTGAAACAGCCATCAGCTAATCAGAAAATCAATTCTGCTGTTGACCATCGTGAAAGAGAAGAAAACAATCCCTCGGGAATCCTCAGATCCACCAGTGCCAGCAGAAAGGGGGAATGTTCCTCTCGTGACAACCACGGTGGGGCTGATTCAACCACCAGAAAAACTCCTGCAAGGATAAAACCAAGTGGTGACCAGACTCTGAAATCATTTTCCTGGCATGATCCTTCCGGAAAGGCAATCTGCACAATTAGTGCTATTTGATATTAATCACACAAAATCAGGCAGAGCCGAGGCCGGTGGAGAACACAGGAAACAGAATCAAATGTCGATTTTTATCACTTAATATAATAATTGAGCATCTCAGCCAGGAGATGTCTGGGTGGGCTTGGTGCCGTTATCCAGCTGTTCCACAGCAGGGACACCACCCCAAGTTCCTCCAAACCCCCTCCAACCTGGCCTTGAACCCTTCAGGGACGGGAAATGTCCATGATCCAAGAGGATGGGGCCACCAGCATCGTCCTTCACCCTGTGGGATAATCCCTGTGCCAGGTGTTCCTGTGGGATAATCCCTGTGCCAGGTGTGTTCCTGTGGGATAATCCCTGTGCCAGGTGTGTTCCTGTGGGATAATCCCTGTGCCAGGTGTGTTCCTGTGGGATAATCCCTGTGCCAGCCATGGTTCCTGTGGGATAATCCCTGTGCCAGGTGTGTTCCTGTGGGATAATCCCTGTGCCAGGTGTTCCTGTGGGATAATCCCTGTGCCAGCCATGGTTCCTGTGCTCTCCTGGCTGCTCTGGCACAGCTGTGGCCATGGTGGGGCTGTTGGTGGTCACTGGCGATGGTGCCCATCCATGGCTCACCAGGGGGTGTCCAGGCAGCTGAGGGGCCAACACAGAGCCCTGGGGATTCCTGTGTCCAGCCCTGCAGGGGGGTGACAATTCCAGCAGCCTTTATCCCACTCCAGCAGCCCTGGGAGCGGCTCTGCTGATGGGGACGAGGGCCAGGGGGGTCTCAGTGCCCCGGTGCCACGGGGCTGTGCCAGGGTCACTCCCTGTCCCCTGCTCTGGTGGCACCGGGAGTGCCCAGGTGCCATCCCGGGTGGGCACAGCGAGGCTGAGCACGGGGACACAGGGCACACACAGAGCTGGCAGGGCTGCCCTTCCTGATTGCCGTGTGTCTGCCCCTCCCAGGTACGAGGAGGAACCTCCGCAATGACCTGCTGGTGGCAGCTGATTCCATCACCAACACCATGTCCTCCCTGGTGAAGGAGCTGCACTCGGGTAAGAGCTGCCTCAGGGCACCAGAGAAGGAGAACTGGACACCACGGGTTGAGGATTTGTCCTCAGATCTATTTCTTGCTAAAACTAAAGCGTAATGTCAGGTTATACATCCACGTTCTCAATGAAAAATCATTTTTATAGCCAGCATCCCTGCTCTGGGCAATGCTGGGGATGATCTTGATGCCACAGTCACAAGGCAGAGCAGGTTTTTGGAGTGTGTCCCCAAGCCCCCGCTGGGTCCTGCAGTACCTGGGCAGCAGGTGAGACCCTCTGCTGTGACTCTCCCTCAGATGATGCAATCACATATCAGTAACTGTACAGGAGGCCCATTTCATCCCTTGTCATTAAACAATGATGGGGAAAACAGATAATTACTCCCTGTGTGCCTCTTCCCTGTGCCAGGGGAGCTGAGCACCCCGCTGGGGCTGGAGCAGGTCCTGCAGCAGCCAGGGAAGTGTCCCGTGGCCCTCGAGCCTTGGCAGCAGCAGGGCTGGGACATGCAGTGCTCCAGCAGCCCGCCCTCAGGAGGATTCCTTCATGGAAAAGGTTGTCAGGCAGTGAAAGGGCCCTCCAGGGTGGAGTCCAAGGAAAGACTGAGCTCAGTGCTCTGAGCTGGTGACAAAGAGGGAAGGTCACAGGCTGGACTCCATGCCCTGTTGCAAGGTGAAGGATTCTGTGATTCTGTTTCTGGGCTGCCTTTGCTGCTGAGGAAAGGGAAGTGTCCTGTGGCTGTTCCTGGTCCCTGCTGGACCCAGCAGCTGTGGCACAAATCCCCCACAAAGGTCTGTCCCTCGGTGACGGGGCCCACGAGGCTCTGCCATCCCATCCCATCCCATCCCATCCATCATCCATCCATCATCCATCCATCCATCCATCATCCATCCTCCATCCATCCATCCATCATCCATCCTCCATCCATCCATCCATCATCCATCCTCCATCCATCCATCCATCATCCATCCTCCATCCATCCATCCATCATCCATCCTCCATCCATCCATCCATCATCCATCCTCCATCCATCCATCCATCATCCATCCTCCATCCATCCATCCATCATCCATCCTCCATCCATCCATCCATCATCCATCCTCCATCCATCCATCCATCATCCATCCTCCATCCATCCATCCATCATCCATCCTCCATCCATCCATCCATCATCCATCCTCCATCCATCCATCCATCATCCATCCTCCATCCATCCATCCATCATCCATCCTCCATCCATCCATCCATCATCCATCCTCCATCCATCCATCCATCATCCATCCTCCATCCATCCATCCATCATCCATCCTCCATCCATCCATCCATCATCCATCCTCCATCCATCCATCCATCATCCATCCTCCATCCATCCATCCATCATCCATCCTCCATCCATCCATCCATCATCCATCCTCCATCCATCCATCCATCATCCATCCTCCATCCATCCATCCATCATCCATCCTCCATCCATCCATCCATCATCCATCCTCCATCCATCCATCCATCATCCATCCTCCATCCATCCATCCATCATCCATCCTCCATCCATCCATCCATCATCCATCCTCCATCCATCCATCCATCATCCATCCTCCATCCATCCATCCATCATCCATCCTCCATCCATCCATCCATCATCCATCCTCCATCCATCCATCCATCATCCATCCTCCATCCATCCATCCATCATCCATCATCCATCCATCCATCCCATCCCATCCCACTGATCCCATCCCACCCCACCCCAGGGATGATGTGGGTGGGTGTTCCAGTCCCCAGCAGTAAATCCCCTCCCAGCCCGTGGGCTGGCAGCAGAGGCAGCTGGGAGTTAATGAAGTTGTCCATGGATGGTGACACAGCCCGGGCAGGGCCATCAGCTCCCCCATAAATCACCTCAGCTCTGCCCCCGAGCCTCAAGCACACAGAACAAACCTCTGCCCGGAGTCTGCACTCGCTCCTTCCTGCCTTCCAGAGCAGGAAAGTGTTGTAGAACCATGGAATTGTGGAAGAACCTGAGTCAGACCCACAGGGATCACTGGTCCTGCCCAGGACACCCCAACAATCCCAGCCCCTGCCCGGGGACGTTCTCCAAACTCCCGGAGCTCCGGCAGCCTCGGGGCCGGGACCATTCCCGGGGAGCCTGGGCAGTGCCAGCAGCCTCATTCCCTGATCTCCATCCCAAAATCCCCTGTCTCAGCTCCAGCCAGGGCCCATCCCTGGCCAGCAGCCGTGTCAGGGATCTGCAGAGCCACACGGATCAGCAGGCAGTGAGAGTGAAAGGAAAATGGAGCTGCTGACAAGCTCCTGCTGGAGGAGATGCAGAGACCAGGAAGGCTCCCCCAAAGTGTCTGAAATGGTGTCGTTTGTGTAAATTAGGAAGAGCATGAGTTATCCTCAGCTGATGGGAGCCAGCAGGATTTCACACCTCATGTCCCAGGGGAGCTGTGGGAACAGACACCTCCTGCAGCTGCAGGAGGGAGGGCCTGGGATGCAGCTCCCACCCTGCCCTGCCCTGGCCTGCCTGGAGAGAGGATTCCCGGGAAGGGAAACACGGGGCAGCACCAGCCCGTCCTCACAGGCCTGCCCTGATGGCCCCATCCACCTTCTCCTGCCAGGGAGGGCTGGGTGCATTCCAGGTTCTTCCCAGGCTCCCCAGGGAATGGTCCCGGCCCCGAGGCTGCCAGAGCTCCAGGAGCCTTTGGACACTCTGGGATGCCCAGGATGGGATTGCTGGGGGGTCTGGGCAGCGCAGGGTGGGACTGGGCGATCTTGGTGGGCCCTTCCAACTCAGGGTATTCCACAATCCTGTGCTGGAGTCACAGAATTACAGAATCACTGAGGTTGGAAAAGATCTCCAAGACCACTGAGAGCAGCTGTTCCCCCAGCACTGCCAAGGCCAGCACTGCCCCGTGTCCCCAGGTGCCACATCCACACCATTCCACAATGATCCCATTTTCACTCGGTCTGAGCTCAAAAGGATGCGCTTCAGGAGGGAACCGAGGCAATGCTGCCTGTTCCAGTGCTGAGCTCCAGGTCACGATTCTGCTTATCCCAAAGGTGTCTGGTTTTGTCCCTGATCTGCTCAGCTCCCGCTTCAAGGATGCAGCGGAGCTGTGTGACCCCCGTGTGTCACCGCCCTGCTCCCAAAGCCACGGAGGACGCGTGTGCCAGGTCCCTCAGAGCACCTCTGGCTCTCCAGCTGTGCTCTCACACCCCGTGCAGGAGGCAGGGGTCACACCAGCCTCAGGATGACCAGCAGCTGTTTGCACAGCTCTCACTGAGGTGTTGGGATGAGATAAGAGCCACCACCTGCAGAACGTGACCTTCTGCTCTCACTGTGCCGTGTAAATACCCTGCCATAAACTCACCTGGTTTGTCCTGGGTTAACAGAGCAAAGCCACAGCTCTCAGCAGAAAGCAGGTGAAATCCAGGAGGAATTTCCCCGTGGGAAGGGCTGCCAGGCACTGGAAGGGGCTGCCCGGGGAGCTGATGGAATCCCCACCCCTGGAGGGCTTTGAAAGCTGTGTGGATGTGGCACCTGGGGACACGGGGCACTGGTGGCCTTGCAAGTCCTGGGGGAACAACAGGAATCCATGGGCTCTGAGGGATTTCCAACCCAAACAATTCCATGGTTTACTCTCTTCTCTCACCCACCTGTCTCATGTCTGCTTTTTCTCTTTTTGTTCTTTTTCTGAAGCAGAGGAAGAAGACGAAGAAGAAACAGAGAAGCTGCAGAATGGGAAGGACCGAGGTGAGGGGACAAAGCTGTCTGAGAGCTCTGCAGCATTTTCTGACTCACTCAGGGTTCTCTGGCTCCCTTTGGAGCCCCACGAGGGCCTCTGGGTGCAGGTGGGTGGCTCTGGGTGGCTCTGGACCAGATGTGCTGATGGGGTTCCATGGTGACCTCAGCTGGACTCACAGTGTCCCTGTGCTGATGGGCTCCCACAGTGTCCCTGTGCTGATGGAGTCCCACAGGCAGTGCCATCAGTGTCACCAGAGGTCCCTTCCATCCCTGTGTCCCTGGTCCCTCCCAGGCTTTCTCTCTGTGCTGGTGAATCCCTGGCACATTCCACTGGAGCCATCCCAGAGCTGGAAGGGATCCTCGTGCCCCCAGGAGCAGGAGTGAGGGAGGGATCTGCTCCTCACCTCGCGTTCCAGGAGCCACCAGGAAGCTCCTCCCAGGGACAGGACCTCACTCAGGGCTCTCTTGGCTTCTGCTTTCCATGTTTCAAACCCAAACACGAGGAACAGCCTTGGCTGGGTGTGAATCAGCCCCGGCATTTGTCTCGCTTGAGCCAAACCAAATTCCAGCATCAACAAACCAGGACTTCTGAGCCTGGTTTTGTTACACACACATTTCCTGCTGGCTCAGCTGCTGCACTTTCTCCCAGAAGAGCTCATTTCCCTGAGTTTTCCCATCCAGTGACTCCTGCAGAGCATCCAGGTGTTTGCAACTGCTCTGTTCCTTTGCCCACCAGTGTTTGAACTTGGTGGGAAGGAGCGTGGCAAGTTTGATTTTGGCTGGAACAGAAGTTTTCGGAGCAGAATCACCCTGGCTCCGAGTCCCAGGACCCTCTTTGGCCCAGAACATTCCTCATCACTGGAATATTTCAGATGCTTACCAGATGACCCTCGTGGCTTTTTCCAAATATGCATTGTGTCTCGCCTGGGAAACAGGGAAAGGGGGACCCGAGGCGCTGGAATACGATGCTGGGAGCAGAGATGGAACACAAACTCTCCCGTTACTCATCACAGCAGCTGGGAAGGGACGGCCCAGACGTGTCCAACAGCACAACTGGGTCCAAGAGGCTCCGTGTGGAATGTAAATATTGTCCCTGCCAGGGAAAAAGCAGTTCTTTACAGTCCCAGAGCCGGTGAGGGAAGCCCTGGCAGGGAGGTGGAGGAATGATCAGTGTGGAAGTGCAGCCTGCAGGGGCCTGGGGGAGCTGCTCCAGGGGACATCGGGGATGGGCGGCACCAAAGGCCAGGTTCCCTGAGGGAGCCGTGGCCAGGGGGCTCCAGGGGTGGGGACCAGACCCCAGCGAGCTCTGCCTGCCCCGGGCTCAGCTCTGGGAGCAGCCCCAGCCCAGCAGAGCTCTCCCATCTGGGATGAACGGGAGCAAAAAGCAGCTCAGCTGTTCCCCAGCTCCAGCACCCACACAGGGAGGGAGGGAGAGGCTGCTCCCCACTGGGACTGCACTGCCATGGATTCAGAGAATCACCCTGGAATGGGCTGGGAGGGACCCCAGAGCCCCTCCAGTGTCACCCCTGCCATGGCAGGGACACCTCCCACTGTCCCAGTGTCCAGCCTGGCCTTGGGCACTGCCAGGGATCCAGGGGCAGCCCCAGCTGCTCTGGGCACCCTGTGCCAGGGCCTGCCCACCCTGCCAGGGAACAATTCCTGCCCCAAAATCCATTCCAAATTGACTTGATTTAAAGCCACTCACAGGGACAAAACCATCCTTGGGCTTCCTCTTAAGTTTCTTCCTGTAGTTATTTCCTATTTCCCTGCTATTTATTTACCTTATTCCCAGTTGATGAACCCCAGCACTCCCTCCCTGCTGGAGAGGCTGACCTTTGATGGAGCAGGGGTGGCTTTGGGGGGATGAAATCCCCTGGGAGGTTCCCAGTCAGCTGCATCCCTCGTGCTTGGGATCACAGAGCAGCACCTCCAGAGGCGTCCCCAGGCTCCAGGGCACGGCTGGGAGCTGGCAGAGCCTCCTGCAGCCATCCTGTGGAACCTGTGGATTCACACCCTCCCCTCTGCCAGGTGTTGTTCCAGCTCTGCAGTCCCTGTTTGTGAGGTCCTGCTGCTCCTCCCCCCGGCACCACCTTCCTCTTGCTGGGCTGGACGTGAACCAGGACGGTGCCACCCGAGACCCACCATGTCCTTGTCCCTTCCTGTACTGACCATCTGCATTTTCTGACCCTCAAACCCCTGCAAGAGGGACTGAAGACCTGAGTTCTGCTCAAACTGCTGGAAATGCAGTTTTCTGATCCACTGCATTTCCAGGACAAAAATATCCAATCTGAAGTGGGATTCCAGCCCTGGCACAGGGTGCCCAGAGCAGCTGGGGCTGCCCCTGGATCCCTGGCAGTGCCCAAGGCCAGGCTGCACACTGGGACAGTGGGAGGTGTCCCTGCCATGGCAGGGGTGACACTGGAGGGGCTCTGGGGTCTCTCCCCACCCCAAACCATCCTGGGATTCCATGGAATGCACCTGCCCATCCTGGCCAGGTGCTGCATCCCCCTGTCCCCAGAGGTGCAGGTTTGGGTGACACCAGGCTGGGAGTGGTGGCTGTGCCCCTGGAACCCCCCCAGGCTGGGAGAAGCTCCTGCAGCTCAGACGGGAAAGGACCAAGTCCTGGGAACACGTCCAGGACAGGCTGGGGGCCACCCCAGGCCTGGCAGGGCCAGTCTGGGACTGGGGACACCTCGGTGACCCCATGGCAGCCACGTGTCCCTGCAGGCTCAGCCGTTCCTGGGCTGGCACAGCTTTCCTGGCGAGGAGGGGATGGGGCTGCCCCCCTGCCTGGCACCACCGAGGCCACCCTGCAGCTCCCCAGGACACGAGGGACAGGGAGGGACCGTGGCAGGGACAAAGGTGACACTTGGGAAGGCTGAGGGATCACAGCAAGTGAATAACTCCTGGGCCAGACTCGGGGAAACTGAGGCAGGATCTCCTCTGTGGTGCCTGGGGAGGGGACGAGGGACCCGTGCTGGAATAAAGGAAATTCTCTTTGGACATAAAAACCACGTTTTTACCCCAGGGCTGCTCAAGCCCAGGCTGACCCTGGAGGCTGTGGGATGTCCACCCTGGGAGCCCCTCAGAGCTCACGGGGAAGGTCCTGGGGAGCTGCCCTGCCCTGAGAGCTCAGTCTGGGCAGCCCAGCCCAGCCCAGCCCAGCCAGGGTTTCTGAGCTTTGGGGATCAGGAGCACTTTCCTGCCTGCCTGGACTTGCAGAGGACTCGCTGTGCATGTCCAGGTGTGCAGTCCTGGGGCATTCCCACTGCAGCACCAAGGGATGGGGGCAGATCCTTCATGTGGAGGGAAATAAAACATTCCCCTGGCTAACCTGCTCTTCCCTGTTTGCAGGTTAGGAGGGGCCGCAGGCTGGACAGCAGCTCAGGTAAGGATGGACACACGTCCCACCTCCAGCAGCTCCTGGGGCTCCTGTCACCTCCTGCCCTTGTCCTGTTTCTGCACCAGGAGGGTCCCCAGCTGCCCATCGCTCTGCTGTGTTCCAGAGGATGTTTTCCATCCTCTTTATTAGATTAATCTTTATGAGATTATGGAATGGGTTGGGTGGGAAGGGACCCCAGAGCCCCTCCAGTGTCACCCCTGCCATGGCAGGGACACCTCCCACTGTCCCAGTGTCCAGCCTGGCCTTGGGCACTGCCAGGGATCCAGGGGCAGCCCCAGCTGCTCTGGGCACCCTGTGCCAGGGCCTGCCCACCCTGCCAGGGAACAATTCCTGCCCCAAATCCCATCCAGCCCTGCCCTCTGGCACTGGCAGCCATTCCCTGGCTCCTGGCCCTCCAGCCCTTGTCCCCAGTCCCTCTCCAGCTCTCCTGGAGCCCCTTTGGGCCCTGCAAGGGGCTCTGAGCTCTGCCCAGACTGGGAAAACACCGTCCCCTTCAGCTCTCCCAGCCTTATCTCCCATTTTATTGTCACTTGTGTAAGGAGAGGCCTCAGCCAGGAGATGGGAGCCCGTGGTGATGGACACTGTCCAGACAAACCAAAAATCCAATTCTGCCCCCCAGAAAGCCGGGGTTGGAGTTAATAACAAGGCACAACAGATGGACAGACAGACAGACAGGTGTAGCTGAGAGCAGGAGGGGCAGGGCTGGAGCCTGGAGTGGCTCCAGGGAGATCCTTATCTCCCCCACCTGAAAAGCTGCGAGGAGGAGCCGCTCGGGTTTCCACACTCTCTGGAAGTTTGCCATCGTGCCCATCACTCCCCGTTCCCGGGGGGAAGGAGGGCTCTCCTGGCAGAAAAACCTCCCGTGGGCGCACCCAGACTGGGCCAGGAGGGGACGGGGACAGGAGGGACCTGCGGCTTGGGTGATGGCAGGGACCAGGCAGGAGAAAGCCCTTCACCTCCAGCTGAGCCCCAGCCCGGGGTGCTGATGGGCCAGGAGCATCAGTGGTGGATCCAAACCTGGATTCTGTGGGATCACAGCCCCAGCTCCCACCCAGCGTCCTCTGCAGACAAAGGAGATGAAGGGGATTTGCCCTCCCCACCGCCTCAGCAGCGGAAGGAGAGAACCCCAGAGGGGCTCAGGAGTCTTTCTGACACTTTTTACATTAGAAATTCAAGTCCTGCTTCATCTGGGAAACAATCTGGTAACTGAAGAAGGAGTGAAATTGCAGCGTTGGAGAGGGAGCCAGCACGGGCAGCTGGCCGTGCCACAGAGCACATCCCCACATCCCTGAGACCCTGCTGGCTCTGGGGAAGGGACGTGTGTGTGTGTGTCCCTGCCACCCCTCAGCGCTGGATGGGACAGGAGGAGCCCCAGCTCCCCCCTGGAGCCCAGCGGGGCCTCCAGCACCAGCAAGGAGCAGCTGAGGAGCGCTGAATTAGAGAGCACTGAGAAAACGAGAGAGGAACCAGTCAGGATTCCTGATCCCACAGAAAGAATGGGAAAAGACAAAAAAAAAAAGCAAATATAATCCTTGACACTGTGGTGGCTCTTCCAGCACGTGGAAAGGGTGGTCAGGCAGTGGCAGGGGCTGCTCAGGGAGTCCCTGGAGGTGTCCAGGGAAGGCCTGGAGGTGGCACTCGGGGCTCTGGCTGGGGACAAGGTGGGGATTGGACCCGGTGACCTCGGAGCTCTTTTGTAACCTCAGTGATTCTGTGGTTCCTCAGGTTCCTCCCAAGCCCGTGTGTGGTGCCAGGACTGGATCCAGCCTGGTGCTGGTGTCCAGCAGTGATGGGGGAGCTGGGCAGCAGCACCAGGGGCTTTTAGGCAGCAGATCCTGCCTGGGGGACAAAATCCCCAGCCCTGACCTCACCTGGGCTTGCAGAGTCACCCTGGGGAGTTTCCCGGTTCCCTGGGCTCCGAGGGGAGGAGCTGTGGGCTCAGTAGGACACTCTGCTGGGTGCCACACCTCGGCTCTGGCCACGGGTGGCCCCGGGGGGTGCCCAGCCCCAGCCAGGAGGCTCAGGGGGTCACAGAGCCACGGAGCCACTGAGGCTGGAAAAGCCCTCGGAGCTCATCGAGCCCAACCATCCCCAGCCCTGCCCGGGCCACCACTGCCCTGTCCCCAAGTGCCACATCCACAGGGCTTGGAACCCCTGCAGGGGTGGGGACCCCTGCCCTGCCCTGGGCAGCTGTGCCAGGGCTGGAGAGCCCTTTCCATGCAGGAATGATTCCCAATATCCAGCCTGAGCCTGCCCTGGCCCAGCCTGAGGCCATTTCCCCTTGTCCTGTCCCTGTTCCCTGGGAGCAGAGCCCGAGCCCTCCTGGCCGTCCCCTCCTGGCAGGGACTTGTGCAGAGCCACAAGGTCCCCCCGGAGCCTCCTTTTCTCCAGGCTGAGCCCCTTTCCCAGCTCCCTCAGCCTCTCCTGGGGCTCCAGCCCCTTCCCAGCTCCGTTCCCTGCCCTGGACACGCTCCAGTCCCTTCCCAGCTCCCAGCACTGGTGGCTCTGGGGCCGGGCAGGATCTCTGGGGGATCTCTGGGGGATCTCTGGGGGTCCTGACCGGGTTCCTGGTGCCGCAGGCTCGGAGGTTGCGCTTGCGATCGAGGGACGTCTCCCCCCCTTCGGAAGAGGCAGTTCCAGCCCATCCATCACCATCGTGAACTGTGACCGATCTCCACCACCTGCTGCCGACACGGAGCGCTCTCCCGACACTCCCGGAGCCTCCGGGCGGTCTCTGCCCCTCAGGCCATTGCATGCACCCTCGGTGTGTTTCCTGTCGGGACCCCCCGTGTCCCGCCCGCCTCGGGAGGCTTCAGAAAGAAAAAACGCAAAGCTGGCAGGACCCTGCCGGTGGCTGTCCCCGCTCTGTGTGCTGCTCCGTTCCGGTCTCCTCCCGAGCACTGCCACCGCTGCCGCCTCTGGCCCTCTGTGCATGGAACAAAAAGGGGCTGCGGCCCCTCCCGGGGGGATTCCGCTCTCAAAATCCCACCCGGAGCCGGCTGCGAGGTCCCGGCCTCCCGGGGGTGATGGTGGGGGGCTCTGGTGCTCCCAGCCCTGCCCTTGGAAAGGTCCCGAGGCAGGAATTGAGGGAGGAGCGCGGCCAGGTGAGGAGCAGCAGGAGCTGGGCTCGGTTTTGGTGGAAATGAGGGAAATAAGGGAGCAGGGGATGGCAGCTGCCCCCGACCCGCGCTGGGCTCCATCAGCACTCCCAAAACACGGCCCCAGCCACGGTGGTTCCAGCACTTCTCCCCAGTGCTGCTCGGGAATGTTATTTTTAGTGGAGGGAGCCGAGGGCCCTGCTGCATCTATAAATATTTATGGAGGGTGACGGATGAAAGGAGCAGAAATCCTGCGAGCACCCCCGGCCCTGCCCCCGGGAACGCGCTCACCGTGCCCGGGACAGGGACAATAAAAACCCTGGTGGCCACAGGCTCGGCTGGATGTGAATGTTGGGAAGGAGCAGCCGAGGAGGGGAGGGCAGCGATGGGAACCTGGAGCCAACAGCAGCTGGGAAAGGGGACAGGGACGGGGACAGGGATGGGGACAGGGACGGGGACAGGGATGGGCATGGGAGCAAGGACAGGGATGGGGAGAGGGATGGAGATGGGAATGGGAATAAGGCCAGGGATGAGGAGAGGGGAATGGGAGATGGGGATAAGGACAAGGATGGAGACAGGGACAGGGATGGGGACAGGGTAATGGGAGATGGGGATAAGGACAGGGATGGGGACAAGGACAGGGATGGAGATGGGAATGGGAATAAGGGCAGGGATGAGGAGAGGGGAATGGGAGACGGGGATAAGGACAGGGACAGTGATGGAGGATGGAGATGGAAATGGGAATGGAGATAAGGGTGGGGATGAGGAGAGGGATGCAGACAGGAATAGGAATGGAGATGGGGATGAGGATGGGGAGATGGGCACCAGGACAGAGATAGGGACAACGTTCTGTGGGTTTTCAGCTGAATTTGCTGCATTCAGGAGTGCAGCATCCTTGGCTGTGTTTTGGGTCCAAGCACAGAAAATGGGGATGGTTTCCCAATGGCCTGGCTGGGCTGGTGGTGCCCACCAGGTGCTGGGGCTGTCACAGGGGTCGGGGTCTTTGCCCCCAGGCAGAGCTGAGAGGGGCTGGGGGCTCTCCCAGCACCTCCTGCAGGCGGGAGGCTGGGGGTGCCCACCCGAGCCCTGCCGGGGTCAGCAGCGGAGCCGGTGGCACTGCCAGGACAGGGACAGGGACACAGCAGAGCTGGGGTACCAGGGCTTTGTGTGGGATATCCATCACCTGCAGGAGAAGGGAAGGATGCTGCAGGGCCCCCCCAGCACCCAGAGCGGGACCGGGGCGCCCAGGGAAGGCTGTTGTGACACGTCACCCAAGGGTGTCACTCGGGAGGTAATTAACCCCCTTTTTAATTGTCCCCTGGGCCGAACACAGGCTGGGGCAGAGCCACGGGGCTCAGGCCAGCTGCACCTCCGGATCGGGATTACCATTTGCAATTCCCCGGGGCAAAACCAACCCAAAGGGGAAGGATCCTAAAAGCGTTTTGCCGTGGGCATCCCCGGCCAGGGTTAACGGCAGGAGAGGGAAATCCCAATAGCCACGGGCAGGGAACGGGCACGGGAGCCCCGCGGGGCCCCCACGGCCGCTCTGCGGGTTACACAAGGACAGAGGTGGCCGAGGCCACTGCTGGCTCCCCGAGTCCCAGGGGTTGCCTGGGGGCCACACCGAGCCCCGGTGCCATTCCCCGTTCCTGCAGGCCCAGGGGATGCGGGAGCAGCCCCGGGAGCGGCTGGCAAAGCCGCGCCGCAGCCGATGCCGTAAGCACGGGGAACGCTTCCAGCAGCAGTCTGCGAGCAGGGAGACATGTTCTGTCATCCGCCAAATATTTAATAAATCCATCTCCTCCCTGCGGGGTGTCTTGTCCCTTCGCCATGTGGAAAAGGCAGGGATTTCATGAAAAAAGGGAAGAAGGGTTTTCCTAGGAAGCGGCTGCTGGGGGCGGGAGCAGCTGCCGAGGCTGTGCCGTGGGGCCGCGGCAGGGCCGGAGATCCCCGCATTGGTCATGGCCGCGGCTCGGGGGAGCTCACAGAGCTGCCAGTGTTCGGCCTCGGCACAGCTGCCCCCCGCCAGATGTGTCCGCACCGCACAGCCCGTACATCTGCCGGGGGACAGCGGGCTCGGGGGTGGTGACACCCGCAGCAGAACCCCCGCTCCCTGCTGGAGCCTCCCTGGGCTCGCTGGCACCGCTGCTGGTCCGGACACGGGGAGCCTCGGGCCCCCGGCACTGGGTCAGAGCCGGCTCCGGGGGATGCCCGGCACCGCCGCCAGGCCCAGCAGCCACACGGGACAGCCGGACCCTCCCGCACCGCTGTCAGGGACCCCCGCTCCCAGCAGAAACCTTATCCCCTGGGATCCGCGGGGAGCCGGGCACGGGCTCCGCTCCCCAGCCCCAGTCTGGCACAGCTTTCCCGGCGCTCCTCGACTGTTTGGATTAGGCATCCCGGTGGGAAGGTCCAGACCCTTCCCGGAGCCTGGAGCTGCTTCCCCCGGCGTGAGGAGAGCGGGGGAGCCCGGGCAGCGCAGGGGTGGCTGAGCGGTGCGGTGTGCCCATCCGTGCCCGGCTCTGCCCGCCCGTGCCCCGGCTCTGCCCGGCTCTGCCCTCCCGTGCCCGGCTCTGCCCTCCCGTGCCCCGGCTCTGCCCGCCCGTGCCCGGCTCTGCCCGCCCGTGCCAGCCCCGCAGCACCGCCTGCCCTGTCCCCTCTGTCCCCACCCGGGTCCCTGCCAGGCTCCGACTGGGGACACGGAGCCACCACGGTGCCTGGTGGGCACAGCCCCAGCCCGGGGCCCCCTCCCACGGTGAGGGACCCCCACGGGGCCGTGGGTGCTGTGTAGGCTCGGCCAGGCCCAATGGCAGCGATGTCCCTGTCCCTACCCCACTGCTCATCCCACAGGCCGCAACCCTTTCACACCTCATTAGAGCCGTAATTAATCCCGATTATTCCCAGCTGCCGGGGGAGGGGCAGCTCCCGCTCAGAGTGGGGGGCAGCAGGTGGGTTCAGCCCCACGAAGACCCCAGGAGCCCCATGGAGACCCTAAAGACCCCCAAGAGCCCCGTGCAGAGCCCGAGAAGCTCGTGCACCCCAAGGAGACCGCAGGGACCCCAAACACCTCATGGATACCCCAGGATCTCTGTGCACCCCAAGGCGTCCTCAGGGACCCCCTGTGCCCCAGGACTGCCCCAGCTCTGGGGAGAAGGGCGGCCCCAGCTGGCCCCGTGTGCGGCTCCATCACCCGGCCGCGGGCACAGCTGGGGCCACCCAATGTCCCCCTGCCCGGCCCCCCCGGCCGCTGCGGCTCTCCCCGACCCCGGATCAATCCCTTTCTTGCTGACCCCCCTGCCCTTCATCCCAGCCCTCCTCCTCCTCCTCCTCCTGCCCCACCGGGCGCGGCCAGCAGTGGCAGACGCGACCCCGGCCGGGACCCCACGGTGTGGCCACAGGTGCCACGAGAAGGGTGGCCCGAATGCGCCCCCCGGGGGTCCCCCGTGCCCACGGGCCCGCGTGTGACACACGCTGTGTCCCCAGGGACGAGCCAGCCGCTCCCGGTGCCACCGGCGCTCCCGCAGGGCTGGCACAAGCCCCGGGGGCTCTCAGGGACGCGGCCCCGGCCCCTTCCAGCAGCTCCTCCCGCGGCCGGGCCCGGGGTACCGGGGCTGTCGCCATTTCTGCTCGTGCAGGAATTCGGCGGTGGTTGCATAACGAGGAGCCCTCGGAGCTGGAAACGAGGTCAGGCGGGAGCGGGGGGAGCGGGGACAGCGGGGACAGCGGGGACAGCGGGAGCGGCTGCAGCTGCTCTCCCTCCCCGGGCTGAGGCAGCGGGAGCCGCACGCCGGGAGTGGCACCGGGACACGACACCACGACCTTGCCCGGCAGTGGCAGTGCCAGGAGCTGGGGGGTCCCTCGGGCCACCGTGCCGCCACATCTGCGTCTCTCGGGGTCCCTCCGGCTGTGGGACCATCGCACCTGCGTCCCCTGGGTCACCTGAGCCGTGGTGGCACCGTGCCCGAGTCCCTCGGGGTCCCTCAGATCGCGGTGCCATCACACCCGCGTCCCTCGGGTCACCATCCGGCCTTGGTCACCTTGGCCAGCACCGCTGCCACCGTCATTGCCCCGTGTCACCCCCGAGCTCAGCAGCGGCGCTGGCAGCGTCCCGTGCCCCACACCCCGTGTCCCCAGGGCCTGGCACAGGTCCCCGGGGAGGGGACCGTGACACTGCCCGGCGTGTGACACCGGCTCTGCCCGGGCCGTGTCACCAGCGCCGGCTCCGTGCGGTGCCCGCCCTCCAGGCGAGATTAATTAACGCGATCCCCCCGCCAGGGACCCGCAGCTGTCACCGTGTCACCGTGTCCCCGGGCCGTGCTGCCGCTCGCTCTCGGGGACGAGGCTGAGCTGCCGGGGGTGCTCCGCGTCGGGGGACCCCGGGACCCCCAGCTCTGCCGGGCTGAGGGGAGCTCCAGGGGACACAGCCTGCCCTGGGACATGGCGACAGGGCTGAGAGAGCCGAACGCTGCAGGCTGATCTGCTCAGAGGACACGGAGGTTTCTCGGGGACACAGCCACAGGGCTCCTCAGCCTCGCAGGGCTCTTTGGAGCATGCAGGGATGGAAGCTGCCAGCTCCCATGGGGCAGGATGGCTGTGCAGGAGCACGGGGACACCAGGACCTGGTGTGGAAGACGGATGACCCATGGCCTTCCTCCTCCTCCTCCTCCTCTGCTCAGCCCAGCCAAGCATGGGGCTGTTCCCCAGCACGGGATCTGGGGGTAAATCCCAATCCCAACCCAGCAGGACCCTGCCCATGGGATCTGGGGGTAAATCCCAGTCTCAGCCCCTCACAACCCTGCCTGTATGATTTGAGGGTTTAATCTCAGCCCAGCAGGACCCTGCCTGTATGATTTGGGGGATCAATCCCAGTCCTCTGCTCTGGTCCAGGAGCACCTGCCCCTTTCCAGCCAGGATCCCCAGCACCCACAGGAGGCTCCTGCAGGACACACATGGGGTGAGCAGGGCCTATCCCACCAGGGAACAGGCCATTAATTAGCATTGTTAATTAACGGGTTATTTTGCAGTGCCCCCCTGTGCACCAGGAGCCTTCCAGCCCTGAGGGTGAGAGGAGCTCTGCCCAGGGGGCCCCTCCTGGGGCTGCAATCCTGGCACAGCCCGGCAGGAATGGGGCTGCCAAAGCACAGCCAGGCGGTGTTGGACCCTTCCATGCCCGTGCCAGGGTCTGTGGCACATCCCTGGAACCCCACACAGTGTCCAGGTGGTGCTGGAGGCTCCAAGGGTCCTCCCAAAGTCACCCCATCCTCAGCACCTGCCAGTGCTGGCCGTGGCCTGGATCAAGCCCAGGTTTGTGTGGACTGAAAGCAGCAGCTGTGCCAGGTGTTGGGAGCGGCAGCGT